TTAAATGACTGTCGTGATTTGCTTGGACCATTATTTTGTGCTTTAGCGTGTACCATGTGCCGGAATTAGTATATTTTTAGCGAGCATATACAATTTTGTGTCAAGTATCAATTTATTTAGCTAAACATATTAATGGCATTGTAGTTTAATAAGAGTGGGTAACAAATCATAATGCTGCAGTATTTTGTAGCCTGCTAGCCCGTGTGACAGTGTCCCATGGCACCTCCGACGTTCATACGCTGCACTGAGTCTGTTCAGGTACTGCTTCCTCCTTTACTCATTGGAAGCGCCTTTAGATAGTTGAACTCAGAAACTTTTTGACAAAGGCGGGGGTGGAGAACATTGATAATTCTGAAGTCCTCCAGAAAAATTGGCCTTCTGCTTTTATAAGTCACATTCCTCAGCTTCGGGTTTGTTTCAGGAGTGATAAGGTTACTGAGCCTGGTAAACGGCAGCAATTATGATTCTTTTGTCTTATATAGAGGCGATTGATTTATTGACTACCATTTCTTCTCTCGTCATTGGTTTGCCTGAGAATTACATCGACGAAGCCGTCAATAAACTATGCGATCTTTACGAAGACTTTTCAGAACCGAAGAATCGGAAACACTTTGCTAAACTCTACTCGTATGTATTGTTAATGCTCTTGTATGCTCCTAGATTAAATGTTTTGTTCACTGGATTGCCTGAAGATCATCATTCGAGGTATCGCGTTTATCGTGCTCTCGTGAACTGTGCTTCTGAACTTGGAGCTTTGTCTCAAATTTATACACAAACCGAGAAGGTTTTTGCTGAATTGTTTATTCGATCAACATAGATTGCAACGCTTTTGAGAGTTTGCAAATGTACGCCCGCGGAATGTCAATTTCTTTGGCGACGCATGTCGGAGGTGCATCAGGCGAGTGGCAACACAAAGCTTGCAACTCAAGCGATGATTAATTTGCTTTCTACTTACTCTGAGGGGACTGCGGCAGGAGCTCGTGAGGATGCTCTTAAGTAAGCGATCTTTACGCCTTTAACCAACAAATAGGTGCATCCTGGCTGTGATTCAAGATCCCAGTTTTCTCTCACACAGTCGTCTGATGTCTCTGAAACCTGTTCAGTTCCTCGAAGGTGAGCCGGTGCACAAGGTTTGCGGCTTAATCGAGTAACTTTCCCCAGCTTCTAGAGATCTATGTTTCTGGTGGGCTCGGAGATTTTGCGGCCTTCACAAAGAAGAATCCAACCTTTTTGACCGAAAATGGTCTTGATGAAAAGGCCTGTCTTGATAAATTGAGAACTCTAAGCTTGATGAAAATCGCTGAGAATGTTGCTGAGTTGGACTACGCCACTGTCTGCAAAAAGATCGATTTGTCCGAAGACCAGCTTGAGGCGTTTATTATCGAAGGTCTCTCCTCAATTCGTACATTGACAGTTTATTCCCCTACCATGTCTGAATGTGTAACATTAATGAGTGATATCTGCGCATTTTACTTATCTCTGTTCGTATTCTATGTGGTGCAAATATTGGTTATTTTAACTGATGTTAATTCTTAATGCTTAC